TTGCAGTGCGGTTGCAGGCTGGGAACAGGTTGTGTGGTCGGGATTGGAACCCAGACTCCCTGCCTTAGGTTCAAATAGGGACACTGTTCCCTTTGAGGGCAGCAGAGGTGCCTTTCGACCTGTGTGGTTTTATTTTAGAAATACACATTTATTCCTCTCCTTTACTTCCCTACCTTCAAAACAAAACACCTTCATTCCTGCCTTGCCAGTCAGTGCTAGGACTTCCCAGTGTTCATTCACTTGGTCTCTACTGTGGCCTGAATGCTGTGCTCCACTCCCCCTCAAATTGGGTGTTTTGGAATCCTAACTCCCTATGTGATGGTGTTAGGAAGTGAGGGCCTTTAGATGATTAGGTTATGAGGGTGGAGCCCCCTGAATGGGATTAGTGCCCTTATCAAAGAGGCCAGGCCACGCTCCCAGGCCTTTCCAGGAAGTTAGGACACAGTGAGAAGTCTTCCATCTGAAAGGGCCCTCACCTGGTCTCAGACTTTCAGCCTCCAGACTGTGAGAAATAACTTTGTGTATAAGCCCCCGGTCTGTAGTATTTTGTTGTGCCACAGCCCACATGGACTAAGACAGGCTCCATTTCTGAAGGCTCCCATGGGACTAGTCCCCAGAAATTCCCTTCCTCACTTAGCTTCTTGAAAGACACGTAGCATGCCAGAGCCCTCGGAATCGAGTCTCTTTCAGTTCTTTAGATCACTTGATTTGTGCATCTGTTCATTCCAATTCCCAGTCTCTGTGGGAAATGCAGACTTTGAACAAGACATTCTCTGATTCACTAGATTTCCTCTTTGATATTATTGCACCTGGTAGTGTAGGTTGAGTTTATATGTGACTCTGTTGTGGGTTTGGTTTGTGACTTTCAAGCAGGGTTATATTGGAAAGAAGGGGTGATGGGGTGGAATTGTGAAGTTAGGAAATTAGAGTTAATTGTGGTAACTGCCTCAGAATAGCCAGCGTCTGGCGGAGGGGACTCTGAATCAGCTTCTATGAATCAGACATTCCCTTTCTCCTCCATAAGAGACCCACATGTTCCTTTCTCCTCTTAGAGACCCGTGCATGTGATAATTAGAATTCAGAGAAATGTTGAAGATGAAGTTCTGGAAAATAGGGCCCCCCAAATTTCAGGAAGACTAAGCAGTAATTTAGAATCGACTTCATTCATTTGAAGGATTTTCAGAAATTAAGAGAATGTAAATAAGGCAGGAGCAAAAATGGACCAGATAGGAAAGAACTTCTTATCATGCAGTTCACTGGGATGGATCAGAAAGTTAAAAGGTATTTTAGGAAAAGTATCTAAAACTTGGAGAAAAGGCAAAAAGATTATTGTGTGCCTTTCAGTATCATTCCGGAGCATTGTTCAGCAAGTCCATCTAAGGCAGCGGTTCTCAACCTGTGGGTCGTGAACAATGAAAATACATCCTGTATATCAGATATTTTACGATTCATAACAGTAGCAAAACTACAGTTATGAAGTAGCAACGAAAATAATTTTATGGTTGGGGGTCACCACAGCATGAGGAACTGTATTAAAGGGTCGTGGCATTAGGAAGGTTGAGAACCGCTGAAAGGATATTCTTGGAGACTTATTTTTCTAAAGTTAAATCTTAACTTGTAGAAAATTGGCAAGTTACGAATGATTTTTTTTGTCCAGTGGAGATCTAAAATTGATTTCTGTTTAGTAGAAAAGATAACCTCAGAAGTTTTGGTTTAATTGCTCTGTGGTATATTAACCAGGTTTGTATCTAACTTTAAAGATTATCACAGCTTTCTTTTTGTCCACTGACTATGTGTGTTTCCGTATTACCTTTGTTTTTGTTTGTTTTTTAAAATGTATCTTTATTGTTGAAAGTATTACAAATGTCCTCTTTGTTTGTTTGTTGTTGTTGTTTTCTCCGTTGACCCCTTCCACTCAGTACCCGCCCCTCCCAGGCCTTCACCACTCTATTGTCTGTGTCCATTGGTCGTGCATATATGCATGTGATCTTTGCACCAGCCTTGCGTCCTGCTGGTTCCCTCACCAATGAGTTACATCAATCCTTGACACATTCATACTGTCTGTTTGTGTGGGAGTTATGTTTTTAGCTTTTTTTAAATTACACTTTAAAAGGATGAGTACATATTGAGGAATAAGCATCTTAGGGGGCTAGGCTGAGTAGGGTTTGAGTAATTTGCCTTTAAGGTCATCTTAGCCCTGAATACCCACAATTATAGGTTTTTATCTAAATTCCCTCTTGGTCACTTGGATAGTAAGTTGCATTTATGGGTCATCTAACTATATGGCCCAGTGAATACTTAAAATTCCTGCATTATCAAGATCTCAGAGCCACGAAGTAGGAAAGGATAATTTCCTTTGTTGTTCATGATAGTACAATTATTTCTATATAAAGCACCTGTAATTTACAGAACGTTGACACACCTGCTATTGTATTTGGCCCTCACAATTTCTTTGTGAGGGAGCAGGGCAGGAATGATTATCCACATTTTTAGGTGAAAAAGCTGAGACTCTAGACCAGTGGTTCTCAACCTTCCTAGTGCCGCGACCCTTTAATACAGTTCCTCATGTTGTGGTGACCCCCAATTTCATTGTTACAAATTGAACATAATTAAAGCATAGCAATTAATCACAAAAACAATATGTAATTATATATGTGTTTTCCGATGGTCTTAGGCGACCCCTGTGAAAGGGTCGTTCGACCCCCAAGGGGTCTCGACCCACAGGTTGAGAACCGCTGCTCTAGACTCTGGCAGGTAAAGTCAGTTGCCAAAGGGCATTCGGCTGGTGAGGAGTGGCGCTGAGACTGCCCTGCTTTTACCCTCCACGCTCATGGACACCTCATGGCGGAACCAGGACTCAAGGGGGTCTTGATAAGAACAGTGAGTCAAGTGGGACCACAACGCGAATACTGAGTTCAGACACAGTGCCTGCCGATGCACCATCTGGACTCTTGTTTCAGTGTTTGGAGTGTGTGGTCTGTTCCCGACTGTTGGCAAGGCCTGAAGTGGGCCTGAGTCTCCTTGGGCCTCCCTCCCCTCTCAGGGATAGAGTGGTGCAGACTCTAAGCTGGTGCCCAGGAAATCTTTCTTGATTGAATATGGGAATTTGCTTCACGTGCTTTTATCTTCTTGATTCTTCCTCTATTCCTGGTAAGATTTTCTTGGCCAGTTTCTGTGTATCTGAGTGACATTGGAGCAGCTGCATGCGTCTGTTCAGAAGGATGATCTGCCCTTTTATTGGATGCTTGCACCAGAAAGAGGACTGCTGACCTAATCCAGTTTCATCTCTTTATGACATCTTCTCTCTCAATCAACAAACTGCTGATTCATTAATTCAGCAGGTACTTATTGAGTGATTTGGTGCTGGACCCTGGGATAGAATGAGAAAGATGAGAAAGGTCCTTACACTTCTTTGGCTTCTGGTCCTGGTGGTGGCCATAGCGTTTCTGTTTAAATATTTTAACCTTTGTTATGCTTTGCTAGTAGAATAAGAACCACATGAAACAACTGAGTTGTGAGGAAGACCATCTCTAAACCCTACCTACCTGAAACCCATCAGCTCCTTGCTTGTCTCCTGGTGCCACCGAGTCCAGACCCCGTCGCTTCCTATGACTGCTGCAGCGGCTTCTGACTGGTCTCGCGCTTCATTTTCCTTCCAACAGTGAAAATCAGGTCATGTTACTGCCCTCTCAGACTCTCCAGGGCTTTCCTGGCTGATAAAGCCCTGCTTAGCTCTGTCGTATCTCCCTCTACTCTTGTTGGCTGCTCTAGGCCAACCACAGCACCGTAGGAGAGGGAGGGATGCCAGGCTGGTGCCCTCCCACCTTGGGCCTTTGTACCAGCTGTCTCCTCTGCCTGCAGTGATCTTTCCCTGATGTTTGCATAACTGTCCCCTGATCATCCACATCTCAGCTTAGATACACTACCTGAGGGGCCTTTCCCATCACCTCTTCGTAGCCCCAGTCACTCTCTGGCACGTTGCCCTATTTTATTATCCTTTTCTCACCCATTTAGTCTCTGAGTTCCTTCCTTAGAGCTGATGCACTGAGAAGCTCAGGGTTTTCACTGCACCTAGAATAGTATCTGATATGGTAGCCCTTCGATCACTTGTTGAGTGAATGCAATGACCTAGGCAGCTATTTAGAGAGCACTTATTTGGGGAGATAGAGAGACATGAACAGGAATGCAGAAATAATTAGCAGTAGAATCCTGCTTTTGAGAAGTGGTAGACTGAAAGATGTATTGCAGTTGTATTTGCTTTACAGTAGAATGCTTTTGGGGGTTAGCTTTCAGTTAAATTTAAAACTATTATTTTGAAGTTAAATGTCACTGTAGAAGCTCAGTTGAATTATGTAATCTGAGGGAAATAATTAGTTCACAGTGTAGGACTCACATTTCTTATCAATTCAAGAAGCATTTTTTGTTTGTTTTTAATTTTTAGAAAGGTTAATTCAATTGGAATGAAAACGCACTGAGTGAAATAAAAAGAGATCTTGACCAGCCCAGCTTGTGTGGCTCAGTGATTGAGCATCAACCCGTGAACCAGGAAGGAGGTCACGGTTCGATTCCCAGTCAGGGCACATGCCTGGGTTGCGGGCTCGATCCCCAGTAGGGAGCGTGCAGGAGGCAGCCGATCAATGATTCTCTCTCATCATTGATGTTTCTATCTCTCTCCCCTCTCCCTTCCTCTCTCTGAAATCAATAAAAACATATTTTGACCAGAGATCTACTATTACCAGGAGTGTGCTGTACCTGGGGGAAGGCTTAAAAAGGACTAAAAATGAAGGTCACTGGTAGTGGAGCCCCCATAATTACAAAATAGAAGAATTTGGGAGTGGTGACCCAAAATTATAAGTTATTTTTCTTGAAGCTGTGTTTGCATAGCAAGCATGCTGTTTTTACTTAAAGTGTTTCTAATGGAGGTTATGAGGGACTAAACTCTTTAGGTTTCCTCCTGCCAGTCCCCTCAGCCCCTGTCCCCAGGAACTCACCTGGTTAGAGGCCTAAGACATGGAATGGACAGAAGCTACTCCTCAGCACAAGATGACATGTGAGATTAAATATGTATATTTATCTATATACGTGTGTGTGTGTGTGTGTGTGTGTGTGTGTATACACACTAGGGGTCCTGTGCATGAATTTGTGCACCTTGAAAGAAACTGGTCCGCGAGGCTGCAGTAGGCACAGGGGCGGGTCCTGGCCCATCTCCGCGCCCCATCCCAGCCCCTCCCACCGCGGCCCCGGCCCCCTATCTGCCAGCAGCCCCACTCCCGTCGCCGCCTCTCCCACGTGCTGACAGCACTGGCCCCGCTTGTACCCACAGACGGTGCAGAGTGATTGGGGCCCGCACCAGCAGCAGGTGCGAGCCGGGGCTGCTGCCCTGATCGCCCCTCAGGAGCAGGGGAGGTGGAGAAGCCCTTAAGGGCGATCAGGTCTGGCAGCCGCTGCTCACACCCACTGATGGTGCTGAGTGATCAGGACCGGCACCAGGCACCGGCAATGGGTGTGAGCGGCAGCTCCAACGCTGGAGCAGGTCGGAGCACTGGGCAGGACTGTGCCCGGTGGGACCACAGCATGCGGGAGCAAAGAATTTTAAGTAACCACCAGAGGCTCGCCCCAGTGACAGCAACTGGCGCCCTGCCTTGGTCTGGCACCCCCGCTCACCTGATCCACCATCCTGCCTCGGCCAACGCCCACCATGTTCCGCACACACCCCCCGGGTGGTCAGTGCATGTCATAGCGACTGGTTGTTTGGTTGTTGCGGTTCATCTACTGTTCGGTCTATTTGCATATTAGCCTTTTATTATATAGGAATATTGACTACCTAGGAATTCGGGAGTTTTAGAGATCACCATAGGCTGGTTTTGGTGAGGGACAGGACCGGATGAGGTTTTGAAGGGTATGTGATATTAGCTACCATCGGTGGTGGTTCCATGTGCCGGAGTTTTGTCTGTGCAGCACCCCACACACTGAGGCTTACACAGGTGAGACTGTGCCCAAGGCTTCCCAGGTGGACAGTAGACTGGGCGCAGAAGCACACTTTCCATGATCACTGTGGGGAGAAGGCGGGATTAGAGCAGCTGCCTGTGGTCACAGGCTCTAAGTGGCAGACCTGGGACTTCCAACGGGTTATTGCATGACTCTGACTCTCCTGTGTTTCCTGTTATATCATGATTCTGCCAAGTAGAGGGTCTCGGGCGGAGACTAGTCAGGAATATCGTGGAAGGCATTCTGGGTCAGCTTAGTTGCTGATTGCTACATGGTTTGAGGGACCGCAGGATTCCACCAAATTTCTTACTAATCAGTCTGCCTCAGTTGGCTGTTATTACTTCATTTCTTTGAGGCAAGTTCTGGGCTCTCACTTCTCTTCAGATAGGGATAACGTAAGGAGAGGGGTGTGTTTATCCCAGGCCACCTAATGTGAGAACGGGGTCCCTTTCTCCCTGGTGGAAAGCTGGGGCAAAAGGAGGGTCATTCAGCAAACAGTTACTGAGTAACTCCTCTCACTCAGCTCCTGGGGACAGACAGCTGAGGGAACAGTGTGGGCCGCGTGGAAGGGTGCAGGTCACGGAGGGAGCAAGGAATAATTTAGGCAGCTGGCCCCTGGGCTGAAGAAAGGAGGTCCTGGCATATTTGGGGAACTAGGAATGTGGGGCTGGATTTGGGGATTATTAAGAGTTTTAATGGGAAAAAGGAGTTGGAGAAATAAGATTCTGTATGCTTGGCTGAGGGGTTTTCCGTAACACTATGGGCACTGAGGGACTGATGCAGGGTTCAAATAGGGGTCATGAGAATCAGAGTTAGAAACACTGCCCTGGCAGAATCTGCGAGAAGGGACAGAGAGAGAAAGGCCAGTTATAATGCAACAGACCAGGTGAGAGATGCCAAAGGTGGGGGCTCAGGCGGTAGGCAGGGAGTGGGCAAAGGGACAGGTTCAAGGAAACTTTGGTGAGGTAGAATCTGAATTAGTGACTGATTATCTTTGTGGTGTGAGGGAGAAAAAAAAAGTCAAGAGCGACTCACAGGATTTCATTGGCGATCTGTCCCCCTTGTTTTATAAAGGTTTGCAGCCCCAATGCTGAAGGTTCTTCTTAACGCCAGGTTTTAGAATACAGCCTCAGCTCATTTGCCAGATTTTACCAACTTGGGCTTTACAAACTGGAAAACATTGCTCTTTTTTTGGCTGACATCTCGTTTCCTTTTTTACTGTTTTTAACTTCTGAAATTATTACAGTAATTTTTGTACTTCAAGGAATTGGTAAGAGCCTCAATAAATGAATAATCAAAGAAATGAGATCACCATCACAATCGACTGCAAGGTCATATGGTTCATGAGACAGTGGTGGGCATACAGCGTGGCTTTCTGATTCCCCAGCAGTTTATGCATCTGTGATAAAGTAGTGTTTGGTAGTGGACAGGCATAATATGGGATTCTGCAGAATTGTCAGTGAAATGGAGGCAGGTATCACTGTCCACTCTCTTTACTGACCACACTGGTCACACCTGGTCATTTCAGCAGCAGCAGGCACAGGAAGATGAGGTAATCAGGCAGGTCACAGTGGCACAGGTTGTATTCTCATCCCTTTAAGCTTTTATCACTCGGCGAAATCCTGGTCTGGAGGTGGGATGTGATCTGTGGTTTACCCAGGACCCCAGGTTCCACTTTTTTCTCTGGACTAATCCGGCTCCCAGCCTGGAGCCTGAGCACACACTGCATTAATCAGACTTGCTGTAATGATCACATGGTTTTCTCGCTGCCTCCCCTGTTAGCTGCCGCTTGTCAGCAGCTGGCGGAGCTGGAGGCTGCAGGCTCCTGTCTGCAGAAAGCCTTTTACTTCGGAATATTGGGGGGTGTGGAAACCCCGCCTCTTTTTTCTGCACTTTGCACCATCTGACTGACTAAATGGTTGTCCTCCGAACCAAAAAGGCTACCAGACAATCTAAGGAAATTGTCTCTGTCTAGGTCATGTTCGCATTTGAAGAATTCAGGTATGTTCTGGTTTCGTACATCTGCCTGCCGCTGGGTTTTTGTTCTCGCTAGGTTTTTGCTGTGTAATGACAGCTTAGGTTCTGGCTGGTTCTCACACACAAAAAGGGCTCTTCTCTGCATTCGGTGGGGTCTCTCCAGGCATGGGGGTCGGAGGTGCACGGTGGTGCTGGTCAGGGTGTTTGCTGCATGCACGGATGCAGCGTGGGTAATTGTTTGCTGGTGTGTGAATTTGCCGAGGGCCCCACCTTGTGCCTCATTTGAGCTGCTGTTGCAGGTGTAGAGTTAAGAATACAGAATAGCAACTGTTTATCCAGAATGAGTCTGTTGATAGCTTTTGTTTTTCTTCCTTTGTCAAACTCATGGAGTCGACTGCTCTCTTAAAAAAATGCTAATCGTAGCAGTGAAGGTGAAATTCTGCAAGTGTGTCTGCTTAGTTGAGATTTGATTTTGGCTCTGATTTTCCTCATCGTCGATAGCAATCTCATGGCTGGGCGGTTTTCTGGGAAGTGCTCTGTTAACCGGAGCCTTCTTTGCTTTTGTAAGCTTTTCAGCTGCTGTAATTATTAATGCTGCAAATTGGAGTCTTTTGTGAATCTTACTCCCTCTCTTTCCTCCATCTCTTCTCTGGGAATCTGTGTCTGGGGGTGAATGTGGGAAGGGATGTTCCAATAGAGATAGTTTCTAAGAAATGAAAATAAAGGAGGTGGAATGGGAGGGCCACCGGTCATTTATGTGCATGTTTCCATGTCTGTGGAACATATGGAGGAGAGCATATATGTGTCTGCTTCTGACCTCGGACAGCTTCTCGTTTCTCACATGGGATTTCTGTGTATCTTAGAACTGAGCATAAATGCCATGTTATGGGCAAAGATTGTGTGGGAACCTCAGTTCTGTTTCTTATAGGCCCTTTTTGTTCCCTCCAAATGTTGCTGCAACAGACATTAAAATGATAATAGAATAACCACTTTTCATTATTTGCAAGAGGAAACTAGAAACCTTTTAGTCAAAATCAAGGGAGTAGCTGAGAGAATCATCAGCTGTGCACACAGGTCCCCCGCCCTTCCTGTAAGCGTGGGGCTTTGGATCCAGGAAGTTATCCTTTGTTTAAGAGTGTGCCCCTGCATTATTCCGGATGGGTCGGGCTTGTGAAAGGGATATTCCTTCCATGTGGCAACATGCTCTGGTGACATGGGGTCTTTGCCCTTAGACAGGGACCAGGCTTATTGTTTTCTAATAGCTCCATTAACAGCTAACAAGAATTTATTTAATGCTGGACAGGTTACAGTAGATCTGTCCTTTAAAAATGGAAAAGGAGCCCTGGCCGGTGAGACTCGGTTGAGTGTTGTCCCGTGCACCGAAGGGTCACCAGTTTGATTCCCGGTCAGGGCACATGTCCGGGTTGCAGGTTCGATCCGGGATCAAGGTGCATGCAGGAGGTAGCAGATAGATGTTTCTCTTCACATTGATGTTATTCTCTTTCTCTTAAATAAATCAATAAAAACACTTAAAAAAAAAAAGAATGAAACAGGAGTCCTGGGTTCTAATCCCAGTTTCAAAATTAGCTTCTCTGATCCTTGTGAGAGTTTCGGAAGAGTTCTGTGAATTATAGAAAGTGGTAAGATTGTAAGGTTCATATTTTATTGTTAGCATTTATTCTATGGAGTAAGCCTTAGCTACTGAACAGATCTTGGAGCCCTTCCCTACATTTCCTGAAGAGGGATGTGTATCAAAAAGCCATTCCCGTTGTGGTGGGCTCCTAGCCCAAGAGCTGGGTCTGAAGAGGTAGAAAAGGGTTAGAGTGAAAGGCCACCACACTGCTGACCCGAGAAAGTGGGGCCCTATATGGAAAGTAAGCCAGAAAAGAAGTCATCTCTCACCCCTGCTTCAATCTCCTGCCTGAGCTAGCCCTGAGCACTTTGCTGGGTATGATTGCCGTTTGTGACTGCTGCACAGTACTGGACAAGTGGCTGTCTTCTTTAGTCACCAGGTCCACATGTGTGGGGCCAGGTGATCACAGTGGGGCAGCACAGGCACTACAGAGGAGCTTAGCTCAGTGGTTCTCAACCTTCTGGCCCTCTAAATACATTTCCTCATGTTGTGACCCAACCATAAAATTATTTTCGTTGCCACTTCATAACTGTAATGTTGCTACTGTTATGAATCGTAATGTAAATATCTGATATGCAGGATGGTCTTAGGCGACCCCTGTGAAAGGGTCGTTCGACCGCCAGAAGGGTCGCGACCCACAGGTTAAGAACTGCTGGTTAGCTTTTTTAACTGAGGCCAAGGTGGTTCTCAAGCTGTAAGAGGCAGAAGAATCACCTGGAGGGCTCTGAAAACTCATTGCTGGGATCCCTCCCAGAGGTTCGGATCTAGTAAGTAGGTCTCGGTTGGGGTTTAAAACCTGCATGTCTAACAAGTTCCCAGGTGATTCCTATGCTGCAGGTCTGGGAACCAGAGAACCATTGGCTTGGGAGAAGCAGGCAGATTGTCTTTGAGATGGGAAGTGTGAGGCAAAGGCGGAGTGGAGGTGGAGGTGGAGGTGGAGGTAGGAAAGAAACCAGGAGCCAGAGCAGCACACAGGCAGGTGGACCCGAGCCGTACGCTCGTAGGAGGTTAAACGGGCCGCATGGGTCACAGCCCTCCTCCTGGGAGGCCTCAGAGCGGTGGAGAGCACACTGATGTGAGGATCTTAGGATTGTCATCTTGGCTATAAGCCTGGTTCTGCCATGCACTGTCTTTGGACCTTTCTTTGTCTCCATTTTCTCAACTGGAAAATGGGGATAGCAGGTCTCCACAAGCAAATCTCTAATGCTGTCTGTCAGCATTAAATGAGAACGTAAACTTGCTTGATAAATTACAGCACTCTTTCTACATGAACAGAAGGGAGGAAAGGGCGCTGGGAGTGACTCCATCCTCTTATCCACACACATTTACAGGCCTCCGTACACCCCAACTCGAGAGCACAGGCCCACACTCATTGTTAAAAGGAGGTCAGATTTTGACATGGACACGTGTACATGCTGACTCCCTATTGGACTAGGAGTTCTTGAGAACTTTTGTGAATCATAGGTTTTTTGTTGTTGTTTTTAGAGAGAGTAGAAGGGAGGGGGAGAGACAGAGAGAGAGAGAAACATCTATGTGAGAGAGACACATCGACTGGTTGCCTCCCACATGCACCCCCACCAGGGCTGGGGATCAAGCCTGCAACCAAGGTACATGTCCTTGACTGGAATCTAACCCGGGACCCTTGGTGCATGGGCCGACGCTCCAACCATGGAGCCAAACCAGCCAGGGCAATGTGAATCCATGTGTTCTGGGTCCTGCATGCCTAAAACTGCTTGACACACAGTAAGGCCTTAATAAGCAGTTGACTGTCTCACAAGGATTTACCAAAAAAGGAAAAGCAAGCGGGCTCTCTGGCAAGCTCGGTGCAGGCCTCATGGTGCCGGCTGGTGTGCTCACTTAGAAGAGCATGTTGAAGGCTGACCACTGACCTCCAGAGAAAGATGTGACATGTCCTCGGCACATCCCAGTTGCTGGAGCACCAGAGAGCTCCGGCCGCATCACCTGAGGACTCTGCAGTGACCTCTCTCTACAACCTGCTGCTGGTTATAATGGTTCGCTGGGGCCTGGGGCCCAAACCTGGAGAGCTGGAGAACCCCGAGAGCATGAGAGGTCCGGCCAGCATTTTCCAGCGGTCAGGGGTTCTGGCCTCCCATTGACTGCAGTCTGCATCGTTCTAACACCAGGCAAGCTGTCCTAGCCGGCTATTGTTAGACACATTTTTCTTGTGGTTTTGCCTTTTTAAAGAAATTTCTTAGACGAGAAGTGTACTGAATGAATAGTCTAAGTCAGTGGTTGGCAACATGTGGCTCATGGGCCGCAGTTTGCCGACCACTGGTCTAAGTAAACATTTACCTGTTACTCCCCACCGCAGAGACCGTCACCTGAGCACCACTGGAGACAGCTTTGTGGAATACTGGAGTTTTCCTCCCACCGTGAGACCCAGAGCCATGACCGAATGTCCTTCCCATCTCCAGAATGGAGAGTTTTCAATGTGATTTTGGCTCCATAATCCCTCAAGTGAGAGTGGAACCAAAATCAGAAACCACTGTTTCTCAAAGTTCCTGATACTTATTCCTACTTGCTTCCTGGGGAATGTGGTATACCAGCTCCAGATCTCAAATCCGCAGGTGGGATGAGTCAGTCACGTGAAAATGGGAAGTTACGACTTTGAGTCTGTTTTCATTGTTTTAATTTTTAAATGTTCTGGACCGGTTGAGGTTCAAACTCCAACTAACTTTATCTTCATTCATGCAAATTGATATGTGGTTTTGGGAAAAGATGTACCTTTTCTTGCCCTCCCACTGGAATATTGAAACGAGTTAAAATAAGTGGTTTCAGGGAACCCCTGAAGTTCGAAAGCAGGGAGAGCCCACACTCTCGTTCCCCAGGGTCCTGCAATCCTTGAAGAAACAGGTGTTTCGGTCCAGTGACATTCCACTGTGGTGTGGAAATACATCTCAGGTCAATGGGAGATGGAAGCTGGGCTGGGCTGGGCTGGGCAGGATGGGGAAGGTACCCAACTTGATTATTGAGTATCTCCTAGGCGCCAGACACTGCTAGGTGCTTCTCCCCTGGTAACTTTAACCACATCGCATCTTATAAATAAAAACGGAGGCTCAGGGACACAGAAACCCCCAAATGTATACTTTTACCCAGACCCATCCCAGGAGCACCTGGTTGGAGGAAGTAGGCAGTGGGTGGAGAGCTGAAGGAGAAAAACAAAGCAAGTGGGGGGTGGGGAGGACAGACACATCTCATGGACTTGGCAGTTCCGCCTGTTTGTCTGACAAGCCACAAGCAAAATGTTATTTTGGGAAACAAATAATTTAGCTCTTGGGATGGCAAAGTGGATATATTTAAAAATACCAGTCTATCCTGCATTATTAAATGTGTTACAGTTATTGTTGAGTTTTACTCAAAGAGAGGCAGTGCTGGGAATCAGGGTCCAAAGATTTGGATACACTTCATACAATGTAAACTTACAAGCTGTGACCGTGGTGAGCCACTTTATTTCTCTGGACCAGTTTCTGCACTTACGTTAAGGATAATATGTAAGACAGAAGTGTATAAATTATAAAGTTTTGCTATAATGCTTGTACTTATAGTTTGGAATTAGTGGAAGCTTTATCAGTTAATATTTAACCAGTTCAGTCTCATTCCCATTCCTCACACTTTTTGCATAGCACAGTAGTCATCTCATGTTAAAAACAATGAGTCAAAAGAAGACTAAGGCCAAGACATGGGAACAACCACAGTGTCCTACGAGAAAGGACTGGATAAAGAAGATGTGGTCCATCTACGCAATGGATTCAACCATAAGAAAGGATGAAATAGCGCCATTTGCAACAACATGGATGGACCTTGAGAACATTATGATAAGTGAAAGAAGTCAGAAAAAGTGAAGAACCATGTGACTTCACTCATATGTGGGATATAAAACTGAAACTCATGGACACAAACAGCAGTGTGATGGCTGGCCAGGGGGGAGAGGTTGGGGGAGAAGATCCTAATAGATGGTGAAGGGAGAAGCTTTGACTTTGGGTGGTGGGCACATGGTGCAATATACAGACCTTGTAACATAGAAACCCACACTTGACACCTGTATGTTCATGTTGACCAATGGCACCCCCAAGAAATTTAAGGAAGAAAGGAAGAAAAAGAAAGGAAGAGAGAGAGAGAAGAGGGGAGGGGACTTTAACTGGACTTGGCAAGTAATAAGTCCAGAACAGGATACCAGCCTGGCTCCACACGCTGCTTGTCTCTACTTAGGATAGTTGCAAAGGTTTCACTCGCTGTGTAGGTTCTGGAAATTTTGTCCATGTCTTTTTAGAGGTGGGGAGGGCCTTTATGCTGATAGCAGAACATTCATTCAAAAAACACTTCCTGGACGTCTACTAACTATAAGCCATAGTAAAAGGTGCAAATATGTGTGATCCTTCACCCCGCCTTCAGGAATTTGCTGTCCTCAACCAACACCAAAAGCATGGGGTGGGGCAGCCAAGGCACAGGAAGGCGGGTGAGGTGGGGTAGATCCCATTAGCGGTACAGGTGACCTGCTGTGGTTCTGCGTATTGAGGGGTGTGGGGACTTTCAGGAAGATCTGAGTCTTGGGGAAGCGTAGGATTTGGGTGGATGAAAATAAAGGGAAGGGCTGTTGGGAGCAGTGTAGGGGCTGAGTCAGGGGAGTGGGCTGATAAAGCCCAAGGAGGAGCAACTTCCCTCCTTCTCCTCAGGGTTACCCATGTCTGATTGCCTTTTCCTTATGACTGGTGACTTTCTCTGCCCTGAAGTTCACTGCCTTGCAGAGGTAAGCACTTCACCTTCAGGGACCATGTGGTCGGGGACATCTGCTCGGTGCTCTGCAGCGCTGGCACCTTTGGTTTTCCACTGGCCTTGTTACCTGAGCAGCTTGGTTAAGCTCTTTGCGCTTCAGTTTGCCTCTCTGTAAAATGGGGATATTTCCTACCTCCCAGAGTTGCTGCATTGATTAAATGAGATTATTTGCTAAAGCATCTAGCAAGGTGCCTGGCACTTAGTAGATAATAAATTAATTCCTTTAATTTCCCTCAAGCAGCAAAGCATTTAATTAGACTAATGAAATCCTGTTCTAATCTAATCCTGATTAGAAATTGCACAGGAGCCAGAAGAGAGGCCTGACACTCAGGTGGGGTGCCCTGGACTCCCGTCTTCCTGGGTGCTCAGACGCAGAACGCCAGAATGCAGTCCTTGGATGACAGTCCTGCTTGTTGAAATTTTATGACACAATGAACCAACTGTGATGTGACTAATCAGCTGAGAGCTTGGATCTGGGCTTGGTTGACACACAGATTTGCTGGCCTGAGAGATTAATTAAATTCCTTGCAGTTGACAAACTGGGACTCTAGTGCTTTCTGTCTAATTACGATGACACAGCCAGAGCCCACCACCAAGTGTTGACATTTCCCCAGGGCCGGCATAGCAGTGCATGCTTGGCCTCACAGCTCTTTATTTCCAGAGCCTGGCACAAGATACACATGTCTGTTGAACTGTGTGGACTGCATTGACAGTTTGATGTGTGAGGTCTGTTCCACTGGGGAGGAGGGGGACAAAGTGAATTATAAGCGAGAGCTCGGTGGTGAGCACCCTTCCAACCAGAAGCAGCTGTTGTAGAAATAAATGATGGGTAATTCCTGGTGGTTCCGTTGGTCTTCAGGGGAAGCCACTGAAGAGCTTCAACTTGGGGATCCTATGGAATCCTTTTCCCGGATGCTCTCCCATCAGATGAACTGGAGCACTTCCGGAGCCGGAGAGTGAAGACTCCACCTTCGTTACTCTCCGCCTTGTTGAAGACTGAGGGATGTAGAGGTCCCAGGGTGGAGGGAGGTGGACACACGTGCTACAGTTGACAGAATCGTTGTCCTGGTGTTGGTAGGGACCCTCCTGATAACCAGATCTCTGGGGTGAATGAAGTGCGAATCAGCTCATTCTGCCCTGGGTGAGAACTTAAACACAGCTTGTTTCAGAGAAGGGTGGCAAAGAGAGGGCCGTCTCCCTGTCCCTTACCAGGTGACAGTATAAAGCCCTGTCCCTTGCCAGCGAAGCCCTCCCTGGCCTGACTGCATGCTCTCTGGGACCTCGGTCACAGGAGCCTTCCCTCTGCTCCACATTGATTTAGTCTGGGATCTACGCACACCCTGTGGTTTCCCTGGCTCCAACCCTATGTTTTCTCCCCATGAAATCCTTCAGAACCCAGCGCTGTGCACACTTCCTTCAGGAAACCTTTTTCCACTCCAGCCCACATGAATGTCTTTTTTTTTTTTTCTGAACTTCCATACAACACGGACATATAGAAAATACTCTAGGACTTAATTTTCCTGTCGTATTTCCCTGACTTGATTGAGGGTTACTTGAAGGCAGAAAGAAGGTTTGATACCTTGTCATTCCACCTGTCACACTTGAACAGAGCCGGATGCATCGTGACTTCTCGGCACTTCTTATTTATTCATTTTTATGGGCTTTTTTTAAAAACTCCTGCCACATGCCATTGTTATAGGCCCTAGGAGGGGAAATGGCAGGAAACAAGGCAGTTGCTGCCTCTTAGGTGTCTGTTCATTTCAGCGCATGAGGCATGACTGGGATTTTGAGGGAAAATGAGTCTGCTGAGTAGTTTGCATGGGCAGAACTGGTCCAGGCAGCAGGTCAGCAGCAAGGACTAAAGGGCCACATGGTAGATTTCAGAGCTGTGGGGATTTACAAAAGGGTTTGAGCGAGCACCAAATATGAAGTTTAACAAGTCCTTGCGTATTAAAATGTAAACTTTCTGGTTCTTCTAGATTCAGATACAAACAAGACATGTTGCAAGTGTAGGCACATGTTCCAGGACCTGTTATCTTCTCCAATTTCCATACCAGTCCTGTAGGCTCGGTACTGTTCACCTGACAGGCTTGTGCCTGAGAAGATTCCGGGAATAGCTCACTCTCCAAGTGACACGGTTTGCTTCATTGGGAGAGCTGGGAATTGGATCTGTCTTCTAACTGAAAAGTCCATGCTTGCCTTTGGCACTCCATAGCTGCCTCTGACCCTGATTTTGTTGTTCTCATAAGATTCCTAGGAGATCGCTGCTGTTACTGTCATATCTGTTTCACAGATTTTTTTAAAAAGCAAGGTGTGTACTGGCTTAACCTCTCCAGCATCACACAGAGCCGGCATTTGAACCCAATTCCACCCGATTCTGGTGCCTGTGCTTTGGACGGCTCTTAGTCACGCAGGGGGCTGCATGGGAAACAGAAGGGCCTGTAGACAGCTGTTTGAGAAACACTGTGCACCCCACTCCTCTGGGCAAGGTCAGTGTGGGAGCATGAGAAATCTCGAGGGAGTAGAGGGTGGAGGGTAGGAATTTTGCCCCTGAACTTCCCACATCTGTTTGATGAAGGAACTTTTATTGCTTAACTCTTAATTTTTAGTTACACTCAGGAAAATACTGCTGTAGTTGAAGGGTAATCTGAGTGTGGGAATTAGAAATGGGGAAGAAGAGAATCTTTAGGCAAAATACATAAAGGAAGAAGATAAGAGTGTAAGATGCAAAATCTCATTGGAGGGTAAGTTCAGACTCCTGCTCTTATTGGCTGTGTAACTTCATGCAAATTGTTTATTCTTTTTGGGTTTCACTTGCCTAATATGTAAAACTATAGGCCTGGTGCATGAATTCCTGCACGGGTGGGGTCCGCTCGGCCCTGCCCCAAATCTGGGTGAGGGGGGCCCTTCAGGGAAGGGGCCATTCAGGGGGAGGGGCCGAGGATAGTTGGAGGGCTGGCCCTGCCCCCTGGTTGAACTCCCAGTCAAACTCCGGTCAAGGGGACAATTTACATATTAGCCTTTTATTATATAGGATTGGTTCACTGTGAGGAAAAGTGTGATTATATATGCAAAAATGCTTTGTAAGCAGTACAACTGAAAGTTGTTTTTTATTTTATTTTTCCCATCACCATTTATCCTCTCTATGCCCCCTTCCATTTTCCCCTCTCTCTTCCCCCCTGAAAATTTTTTTTTGAGTTGTTCATGTTTGTCCCAGTACCTAGCACAGCACCTTCCAGCTGTTTGAAGGGCAGTTAATGGTTGTTGGATGAATGAGTGGTCTCTGGGTTCTGTAATTGGTCTGTTGCAACTGAAAATATTTTTCATTCAGTTTTATTAAGATACAATTGACAGTGAATTTTTAAAAAATATATTTTTATTGATTTCAGAGAGGGAGAGAAAGATAGAAACATCAATGATGAGAGAGAATCATTGATCAGTTGGCTCCTGCACACCCCCTCCTGGGGATCGAGCCCTCAAGCCAGCATGTCCCCTGACCGGAAATTGAACCGTGACCTCCTGGTTCATAGGTCAATGCTAAACCACTGAGCTACACAGGCTGACTTGATATAATTACTCTTGATGTGTCCATGATAAATCGGACTCTTTCTCAGGACTGCCAAGAGGAGAAACTGCTGCGATTTCACACACCCGTGCAGTTCTCACTGATGGAAAGAGCTGAGATGTGCAAGGACATTCTTGGATCAGTCTTTTGTTAGCACCTGGGCAGAGAATGAGTTGGAGATCATTCTGATAAGTAAAACACTGTGCAAAGATCAAGTACTTTTTAAAAAGAGAGAGGCGGGTAATTTTTTAGCATGCCTATCTCTTTCCTCTACTAGCATTGTTATTCCTAGAAAGATACTGTTTGCCCAGCATCCAGTTTAGAGAGGAGGGTTACGAAGAGGGGAATCAGTAGTCCATGCCACAGTGATCTGACCTGGCCCAACCCCACACCCCCTCTTTGGGGGTGACACGTGACTCAATCCCTTGGCTATGGTGATTGGTTTAAGGCAAACATGTCAAACTCTCAGCCCGCTGGCACAAGTTTGACATGCTTGGTTTAAGGGAAGAGTCTTGGGCTAGATCTGTGAGGAAAGATGCTGCTTTTTCTGGGATCAAGAGCTGTGTGGGATGATGAAAGCCTCAAGTCATTGGTGGTAGCCTTCTGGTACCAAAGCCGGGTGATGGGGTAGAGTTCAGTGATGGCCAAAGAACCGACTTCTCATGGCATCACTGAGCCGGGGCTTATGGCGTTCGGCCCTGCTTAAGCCAGGCGTCTCCATGAGGGTGGTTGTTTTTGCACTATATGAAATAACAGATTCCACTTTTTTCCCCATCAGAATCTGTCACTTACAACCTGAAGAATTCCAAATAATACAAAACTGCGCAGGATAAAGAAAAAGCAGACTAACACTTGTACCATTTTTTCCTCCTCTGGAGGTGACCACACTAGTCATCATCAGAATCGTCAGACCACATTGCAGTGTTGTGTTTCATCCGGGTGTTTAACAGAGCACTGTGGCCTGGGACACTGGTTTGGACTGAGTTGTGTCCCCCACATTCATAGATGGAAGCCCTAACCGCCAATGTGACCACCATATTTGGAGATAAGGCTTAAGAGATAATGAAGATTAAATGAGGTGAGGAGGGTGGGGCCCTGAGCAGTAGAGCCAGTGTCCTTATAAGAAGAGGAAGACACCAGAGAAAAGCCCATGTGAGGACACAGCAAAAAGGTGGCCCTCTGAGCCAAGGTGAGAGGCCGCAGGAGAAACCACGCCTACTGACGCCTTGACCCTGGCCTTCCAGCCTCCAGAACTGAGAGAAAGTACATTTCTGTTGCTAAGCCGCCCGGACTGGTATTTTGTTATGGCAGCCCGGGCTGACGAATGCAGGCACATTTAAAAGAGAGAGGCGGGTGGTGAGGGCACTCGAGACCTTATCTGTGGGACAGTCCATAGAGGGCTTGCCGTGTGCTTTTTGAAGAAAAGGCAGGCCCAGCTGGTGTTGCTCAGTGGTTGAGCATCTACCTATAAACCAGGTGGTCACGGTTCAATTCCCGGTTAGGGCACATGCCCAGATTGCAGGCTCAACCCCCAGTAGGAAGCCTGCAAGGAGGCAGCTGATCAATGATTCTCCCTCATCATTGATGTTTCAATCTCTTTGTCTCCCCCTTCCTCTCTGAAATCAATAAAATATATATTTTTTTAAAAAATAAAAATATGTTTTAAAGAAGCAGAAAGGCTGTGTCAGAGCTGAAACAGCTGTTCGGTAGCCTCTGGTTCCGAGCTCTAGGAGGCACTTCTTTGGACACAGCATTTACTTTTCACTTTCCTGCAGCTGACGTGTCAGGGTCCCTTGAGGCATTTCCAACGGGAAAGGGAAGTAATGTTTACTGAACACCCTCTGTTCGCTCTCATTCATTCAGCACTAGACCTTAGGGATCCAGCCGGATAGCTTCCGTCTAATTCAGCTATTAAGTGCCGAGAGCTCCAGTTACAATATGCTATTTAATTAACACCACACTCAGCAAGTTAGAAATATACTCCCTTACAGATGAGGAAACAAACCTAGAAAGGGTCAGAATGTGGTCATGGTCCCCAGGACCCAGTCTAGAGCTCAAGGAGCCTGATTCCTGTTCTGTCGCTCCTGTTTCCTGGCCCTGTGAGGCGGGAGGCTGGAAGCTGGCACAGAAATCAGTGCTATGTCGGGGCCAGCGGGTGGGGGAACTGAAGGTGGCCCGAGAGTCCTGGCTCCCCGCCGAGAGAGCCGGAAGCACTGTGGTTTAATGAAGCACCACATTGGCCATGCCCCATAAAATTAAGAGAAGAAAAGAAATTAAAATCTAAAGGAGTTGTGGCAAGTGGAGAGAATTGTTAAGCACAGGCAAAGCAAATATGGCAGGTTTGAGACCAACTGCTCTCATCACGCTGTTCTCTGGACAGACTTCAGCTCCGGTGGGCTGTGAATACCCCGCCCTGCCCTTCCAGGCAGGAGCCATGGACCCAGACAGGCAGGCGTGGTGGGCCACCACCTTCTCCCTTGTGTTGAATGCCCAAGCATCTGGATGGCCAGGGCCTTAGGCACAATCAGTGACTGTCTTAACATGGAGAGCAGGCCAGGCCCCATTTTCATTGCACTTGTCCCTTTGCACCCTTAAGAGTTTTTGTTTGTTTGTTTGTTTTTCAATAAGCTGGTTTTAGTCATTGAAAAATGAATAACTGCTTATAATAAAAAGTTCAAAGAGAACAATGACAGAACTTCACCAAGATCCTTAAACACTCGGGTAGGAAGCCACCTGAGACGGTCTCAGATACAACCTAGGACCCTGTGTGGCCTGGGATTGTGTGTGTATGTGATGCTGTAAAGAGGATATGGCTTTGTTTACTGACAGACTAGAAATTCAGCGGCAAAGGTTTGGGTTATTGACTACCTTTATGACTTCCTTTGGGTTCTCTTGGATATATGGTGCCTCTCCCAAAAGCAGAATTCCTCAAGCTCAGTCGCCGTCTCCTCCAGTTTCCCCAGGAGGCCCTGGACTGACTGCAGCTAACGAGCCGGAGGAGACCTGAAGGGGAAGGATGGGAGGGAGACACCCCTCGTGGAACTGCCCCGTAATCTCAGCTTTCCTACTCTCCCATCATTGGTTAGGATGAAGTTTGGTCGTTTCCTAATATTAAAAATCCTTCTTAAAGTGGAACTTAAGTAAAATGAATGACTAGGGCGAACAGTGTGGATAAAAGAATTGGATTTACCGGTATTGAATGAACACGCAGGAAAGTTCTAACTACACAGTCCATCCCCCAGACCAAGGGGGTGGTGAATGGTTTCCTGGCCTGACTTGGTCAGCATCTGAACCCACTCAGTCCTCCCTGGCTTGGTGCCAGGCGGCGGCGTCACTTGCTCCCACTGGTCCCGGCCCCTCTGTGTGCTGGCTCCTGGCCCTGAGACGACTCAGCAAGTGGCTCAGTGCATGGTAGTTGTGTTGCTGGCACGATGCTCCCTTCCACACATTCTTACAAGCTCCCTTTGTTGCTCTGCTTTCTCCCCTCCCTGCTTTTGTGCACTTTGAAAATCATTGTATTTTTCCTTTTTGAACTCCTCCTTACCCCTGTTCCTCATAGGCCATGGGGTTGGTGCACCTCTCCCTCCGGGCTGGCCCGGCCTCCTCTCTGACCTGCAACAGGCCCCTCCGCCTCCTCTGTGGGTGGATGATGTCTCTTTCTCACTGGTCCCCAGGTTTTGACTTTAAGCACCAGGGCAGAGAGTGGGTAGCGTGTGGCTGCTCACCTGCTCCTCAGAAAACTCGCCTGACTCCTACACAGCGAATGCAGTTCCCTCCCAAGGAATTCACCTTTATGTGATCTTCCTGCCCTTTGCTTTTCCGTTTCCCCTCCCGACCAGAGAAGTTACATTCTAGCACACACCTTCCCTGGGCCGATAGAGACCAAGCGGACAGGTTTCTCCACGGTGCTTCTCTGTTTAAGTTTTCATTACCTTCACTACCTCTACCTGTGTGTTTAATATGGTCCATAAAATAACACACCTTAAATTTATGGTGCTATTACTTCATTAATAATATATGAATATAGGGGGATGAGGACACATTTGTAATACCTTAACCAATAAAGAAATTTTAAAAAATAATAATAATATATGAATATATAATGTGCAGTCACGTGTTTAGAAATAGTGGCACTTGTCTTTGAATTTGTATGCTTATCTATACTAAAATAAGGGTAATATACTAATTAGACCAGACATCCTTCCAGAGAAAGCCACGGTGGCGGGGTCCAAGGCAGAGACAGTTAGGGGCGATCAGGCCGACAGGGGAGAACAATTAGAGGCGATCAGGCAGGCAGGCAGGTGAGCGGTTGGGAGCCAGCAGTCCCAGATTGAGAGGGGGGTGTCTGACTGCCGGTTAGGGATTGGAGAGGGTGCAGGCTGCCAGTTAGGGATTGGAGAGGGTGCAGGCTGGGCTGAGGGACCCTCCTCCCCATGCACGAATTTTGTGCACCAGGCCTCTATTTGTTAATAAAGGTCCCCCTCCCATTGCTCCCTTGAACTCCGAGCCCAGGAAAACCATCAGTATTAAAGGAGGAAGTAGTGTGGGTTGAGTAGAGAGGATACTTCTGAAGATGTCAACCTGTGTTTCAGAACTCCTGGGTGTAAGGTTATGCACTGCTGAGCTGTGAGATGCAGGGCCAGTCCTTCACACCAGGCATATGCCCCCTCTTATAGCCAAAGAATAGTCTGAATAATTAAATGATACAATATATCTGAAAGTTCTTTGTATGGTGTAAACATTTTAAAAGGCAGAGGGATAGATGGGTAGAGTGTGCTGTGTAC